CGCATAACTGCATACAATTCTTAAAAACGATAACAACTAGGCAAGCCAAGTTCCTTAACGGTTTTGGAAGTACTCGCACACTTGCAAGTCTGCTTCAAGTTACAACTGCTTAAGCCTTCATGCCCTCAGCAACACGCCGATTTCGCATCACTGTGGATATTTTTCTGGGAGGAATTTCCTCGCCCTTTTTCATCCGGCAAAAATCTGTTACTTTCGATAAAGCATTTCCCACTTCAAAGGTTGCTTTTAGGCAGCCATGTATTATAACTAGGAAGCGACTGGATTGGTTGGCCCTCATTTCCACATCGGATTAGACTCAAACAAAACAGACAAGTATCGTTGGACAACTGCCTATTTTTTTCAAAACAGTTGGGTTTAACTTTCCACATTCATTTGACCTTATGTTTACTCACCCGCCGGAGTTTGCTTTACATGCTTCCGTTCTCAAATGAGGATCGCGTTATGGTTTAATCTGGACAAATTCCCAGTTAATCTGTTGGTTCTGGAGTATCGCGATAGGTATGGACTGTGATCCACGTGCCATCTGTACCCAAGTTAAATAGGCCACCGATTTGTAACTCCTTAATAAAAAGCCCTGATTTGCCGATGACTTAGGGTACCATCTGAAAGAAGAAATATACAAGGAGTGAAGGTTTGTGGAGAGTTGGGATTGACATGCTCTTCTAGAAAGGATGATATTGTCTAAAATTGCCAGACTGGTGGAATTTGCAGGCATATTTCGTGGTGGTATAGTTAGTCAAACTTGTATCACGTCTATACATGATGCATTCGCAGTGTCCAAATCACATGACCCACAAAAGCGAAGTGGTGTAAAGTGATGTGAAAGGACGGATGACATGCCTCTCTTAGAAGTCGAAATTTAATTCCTAAAAAATTAATCACAACTCTTCAGCAGTAATTTTGCGGGTATGCCTGCTTCCAATTTCTCTCCACTCAGTAGTCACTCTTTGGGTTGTTCACATCAGTGAGCTTCTCCATCGTTTTGACTCGTGACTGAGGACATTCCCATGCCCTAAATTTAGTCACCCGGTTCAAAGAGGAATTTAAGTAAAAAAGGATCTAAACCTTATTCTCTAGCAACGTTCGATGGTCTAATGAACCTCCGCTATCTGCAAACAATTAGTAGTAAACGACAAAAAATCTGCTTGAATAGGCACCTCCATTGGTGTGTGGTAAATTTAAAAGTTGGTTGCTTTTCACTTGTTTAGAAGCTGCAGACCCAATAAGAGTACCTCAAAGCATGACGGCACTTTAGCCATGGAAAAAGAACACCTATTTCCGCTCCACTTCACACGGTTGGAATCATTAAATGTCTGAAAAACAGCTAAAATTTTTTTAATGATAGGCCTTATGGGCTTCCAGTAATTTAGGCACAGTGAAGATGCGACTGGAGAAACTGCTTAAAATGCCCTAAACTACTTTTGAGGGAACCGCTTTAACTGTTAGTTTGTTCTTTCTTTACTTAAACTTCCGCAAAATGCCCAAACAGGGCTATTTATTCAGATCAGGTCCTTGAGAGACATCACAAATCATCCCTCTCCCTCGATTCACTACTCTTAAAGTCAGAGAAAACTTTTGGTATTCAGACGGTAGTTTAATGAATTCCAAAACTAGAAGGTTATTTATGCAGTTAATAGTACACCGCTTGGGGCCAACGGGGTGGGATAACTCCCTCTCATGGCCAGCCTTTAGTGTCATTTGCGCTTTCAGGCGAACCACCAAATGAGCACGGAGGAGAGGTTTATGCAAATCCTGTACAATTACTCTGACAGCTCGGCAGAAGACAAGCATTTTCTCATTGTCAACTGCGACAACGTGTATCATGATCGGGATGACGTAAGTGTTTAAAACTTCCTACTTCTTTGAGGTTCATTTAGAGACCCCCTTTTGATGTTCAAGTCTTGGTTGCTGTTTATGATCATAAAATATGCACCCCTTATTCATCTCGTTAGACATTTAAAGTAGGCGCCCCTGATCTCACTGCTTCCCTTTTCAACTTTATTTCAACAGTTGATGTTACTAAATTTTTCATCTAAATGGTCTCCTCCCGCAATCCACAACTTTAATGTACTATTTAAAGAGCCACGGGGATTAGACCGTAAATGAGGCCCTTTAATCTGCCTAATTGGGGATTATAAAATCCCCTTCGGAGCCTCGCATTATCCGTAAAATTTTATGGCGCTTTATTTCCACAGATAACTACACGTAAAACTCTCTCCGCAGTTGTGCGGATGGTAAAAAGTTAGCCGGAATTACAACCCTACCAGTATTTAAGTTGTTAGCATTTGTTTTTCTTGAAGATCACAGATCCCCTTAAATGGTTGAAGTAAGACAAAAGGTCGACTGTAGGCAAAGCTAAGAGGTCATTAACTGTGCCACTAAAGTGCAGCAAAGCTTAATTACTAGATGGATCCTTTTTACCCACCCGATGGGCCAAGTTGGAATTAAGAGAGCATGTAGCGAAAATACGTTAAGGGAGCTAGCTCGGTCATAAGGCAAGACAGGAGAGATGCCGTCTTCTTGGAGCGCTTCCCGCGTGTCATGTGATCGGATTGATGAGCACAGAGGGTGTCTAGGGTGTGGGTCGTGACTGTCCAGTCATACGTGAGTCACTCCATGGCCTTGAACATCTCGACTAGCTGTAAAGAGCGATGGCACGCCTTAATCGCTTGAGTCGTTGTTCGGTTTCCTCCGCACATCACCTGTTAGTGTGCGTTGCTGTACAGAAAAAAACGATTTCTATGAATGCAATAATGTGAGTCCTTTCCTTGCTGATGGGTGCTGTTTACATAAAAATCATGTTTGAACCGAAAGAGCACCCTTTGCTGCTCTTTTATAAGGGATTTCCCATTTAAATTCCCCCTAAATCCTTACTTCACTGGTCGTTATTTGACATAAAGCAATGGGCCATACTTTCGCATGACTTAGCTTAGTGTACAAGAGACATTTTATTTCGGAAGCAAAATAGTGATGACACACACACCTGGATGGATTTTCTAGGCTCAGTAATATAAATTTTGATTTCCAGACACAAAACTTTGCCCAAAAATTTCAGCTGTTCCAAATGATGTCTTATAAAAGTTGACTTTATAAGAAAAATCAGACATTTTTGGCAGAACAGATCATTACTCCCTTAAATAAACAAGTCCTTCAAATTTCCTTCCTTCCTTTCCTTTCCAGTGAATCAAGTTTGCCTCAATTTTTAAAGCTGGAAGAGTTTTACGTTAGTTGCTAGTGTATACGAGAAACCATACATTTCCACCTTAGCCGGAGTGGCTACTCTCCCTGTTAAACACACTGGCGGGACTGCTGGAAGAGATCGACCTTAACTCGACAAGTTCGCGTCACAAACTGCCCGACGTTCCATCGGACAGCAGCAGCGGGCGAAGTCCCTGGACCTTCACTCCGCACAACGCCCAATGCATCTCCTACCTCATGTCCCGACTGCTCGTCAGCAGGCCGGTCGACGTGCGGTCGCGCAATCTCATTCACAAGGTCGTCTTGAGGTTATTTCGGAATGCAAGTGGTGCGCAGGTTAGTCACCTCCACTCTATGCATTCAACTGTGTTTATGTTACCAGATACAGCCAATGAAAAAGATGTTTGTGATGGTAGATAACTGGAATATCGAAATCACAGACGGTAGGCTAGTCGTTGTTTCTCTGCAAACCTACAATGCCCTGTTAGGCAAGTGATTAACCAAACAGCTGGATTTTAATAATAGGCAAGGAATGAGAGTCTGTGATTTTGAATGGCATGAAATTGGTGCTATATGAAAACCACTGCGGAATCCGTTTGACTTCACGAACGGAGACACTTTAATCTGACGTTCGAAGTGTCAGAATCTTCCACGCTGCCCACTATAAACGTCGTGGGATGCATTAAGACCATCCACGAAAAAGGCGTGGGGATGATGAATAGCAGCATCGTGGTCCCTCAGATAACCCCTCCTCTCCATTGAGACAGAGCCACCATTTGAAAATTTGTATGTCTAGAATTGCATGATCGTAGGCAGTTCTGCAGCTGAGATTCTCTACTTGCAGCAGGATGATTGAAATAAATAGACTTTACTTTTCAATTCTGGAAGAGAATCTTTTCATCAGTTATAGAGTTCTTACGCTGGTGAGTACACGCACCAGCGTTTATCTCAGAGATGTCACAAGCACGATGGCTTAGGAGATTTAAATCAGAGGATTTATCATCATCCACTTCTGAGTCGAGAAAGCCTTGGCGGAGAAGAGTAGACTCAGTGAAATAAACCGCCTTGACAACTGCCAAGAATGTTGGTTTTTTCTGTTATTATTTGTGCTTTATACATGGAGGAAAAAACTTCTTACAGATGACAGCAGCACCTTTACCAGATTTCAGTTGTAAAGTAACTGACATCTTTTTGAAAGAATGTAATCTCACTATCATTGGCCTTGGCAGGATAGGATAGCCAAGATTTCACTTTATTAAGGCAAAAAAAAGGAAACAAAACTTCATTTTGGGCTGAATGTCTTGACTTTCTTAAAATTATTTCTCATAAATAGTTTGGGGGATGCATTAAACGATTAGAGAACATTAGCATTCTATATAATGGCCAAAAATGTCCTTTCTAGGTAAAGGCATCTCTTTTGCGATTCTCCAAGTACTTTGCACGATTCCTCACTCCAGCCGAGGTAAAGGACTTCATTTTACCTCTCGTTACCTTCTGCTTGAATTCGCGTAACCTCGAAGCCCTTGTAAGTTCCCATACCCTCAAATATTTCCCTTCATTTGCCATTATCATGGGATCTACAACTGACAGGTGTTAATTCACGCATCACATCGCATTTTGCCTCTGGTCTAGCCGCTCTAGCTAATGAGGAAGACTGTGCTCCTCGGTTTCCAACTGAAATTGTCCATGGAAGAGATGTTGGGCTTAACAGCCAAACTCTCCGACTTTTAGTCCCTCAGGGAAGGTGTGCAGGTGATGCAAAAAGTTGTTGAAGTCTCCTACTGAAAAAAGATACTATTTTTAGGGGGACTGCAAAGGCGAACAGGAAGCGCCCATTTGTTTTTCACAAACTTTTTGATGAAAAGCTTTTTACCTCTACGATTCCGTCTTGCCAAACAATCGCAGACGCGTACGCTGTTTTGTGGAATTTTCTTGATATTGCCAGTACTCACGAAAGGAAATATGGTTTCCAGCAAGGAAACTTTTGACCAAACACTTCGACTCACGTAGATTATCGCATAGGCTTCATGACGTTAGACTGATGTATCACAAGCCATATTTAGTCTTTTTTAGCTTTCCATTTCAAGTTTTGGCCACAAAATTGAGCCTCTGTTTTGTCTTTGTTATGTGTAAGCTGTAAATGATTCATAAGGCCTGAGGCACGCATGAGGTTTGTCTGTTTCCATGCAATAGGTGACTAGTCTGACAGTTCGTTACATTTGACTTGAATAGTCTGCAAGAATACGCACCGGATAAGAATAACAAGCGCTCCCATTATCTCTGAACCATTTTACAATCAGACGAGGGCCTTCTGAGGGAAAAACAAGATTGCAGGCAGTACGTGTGGTACCCTGAGTCAGTCCTGACGACGAAAGTCGACATAATTTTAAAACAGAAAATTTATTGTTAAAATCGAAAAAATACATGCGGACAAATATCGTGATTAGGAGGCCATACCGTCGAGCAGAGGAACAAGGGCGGAGCTCCGAGTGCCCGCGAAACCAAGATAAACAGTTAAGTAAACAACTAAAGTATTGCATAGGTCCCACCCCTATTGGGTGTCGTCTTCGGTCCTCCTCTTGTTCAAACCCTCACGTCGCCGCCACAAAGTAATCGGTGCCCTAAGAAAACACCCACCAGCCAATTGCGCTAGTTGGTGAATTTGCTTGTAGCTAAGGTGCTATCTGACTAAAATGTCACTGATGCACCTTGCTGACACCACTTATGCTGGATTCTCTTTTCATTTGTAACATGTATTAGGGAAGAAAAGGAGTTGTGCATCACGTATGTGTATCGCCAGTCAAAAGAGCTTCGGCTTAAAGGCAGAGTCATTTAATAAGGGACGGGATTTATCTGCTAGTTTCATGGAAATGAGATTTAGCCTCAATTTCTCTCTGCCACTTTGTTTTTTGTCTCAATGCTGCCCAGCTGCACCTATTTAGATTCCATTCAACAAGTAAAAATTTTCATGCAGATATCGCATACACCTCTGCATCGAACTTTTTGGACTGTTTACTGTCACTTTCTTTAAAAAGTGGAGACGTAAAGTGCCTCTCTTATGTAACAATGATTGTGGACATTCCAAGGCAAAGGGAAGGCGAACTGACACTTAATTGAGGATGCATCAAATCGGACAAATTGTACGCCTTCGCTCAGAAGTGCGTATAAACCTCCGTCTCATTGATGCGTATCCACTGTACATCGTGGAAGAAGAAATCAAATCTTCTGTAAGGCAGAGGCCATTTAAATGGAGGTCTCAATAATTCACGTCAGGAACAATTTCTTTACATCTTGTCAATTTCTGATGTCAAAGTCGAGTTGACTAATTTAAAATGACAGGCCAACACATTAGATTTGTGAAAGCAATAAAAATGTCATATTGCAAGATATCCCCAAATGAATGAAGACGTTGTGGGGACCTAACCATCGGTCGGACAACACAGTCTTTCGTTAATAATAAGCTCCACAGGATTCGGGTTTTGAATCCTCGATTCTACACCCCAGCAATAAATCTCGACGATTTTGTCCTCTTCTTCTGAGTTGCCTTTTGCGAGAAAAAAGTTGTTTTTGAAAGAAAATGCTAAGATTTGGGTAGTTTTGTTTGTGATCATGCCACAGGAAATTCCCAGATTGGCTGTAAATACCGAAAAAACTGTTGGTTTCATTCAACTTTTTTATTCTTCCTCATTGATGCGTTGAATGCTTCCTGGCTCAATCCGAATAAGGCTGTTGTTGGTAATGTTGCTTCCAGAAGGAAAATAAAAAAGCGGTTTTTATCTCTTTCAAGGCTGCCGCTATGGAGGCGCTCCCAAAACTGGTGGAATATCCCATCTCTGTTGAAATCTACGAGAAATGCCTTCATAAAGCCGTTAATGCATTCAAAAAGAGTGCCTCTCGACCGCAGGCAAGTTACACGATTTGTGGCTCCCATGTTTTGTTAAGAATTAGTTTTTAATAATATTTTACATCAATAAAGTGGTTTGAACAGTGCTGAAGATTCCAGTCACTTTATCCTAAATAGACCAATAAGGAGACATCTATTCCCCACTTGAAACATTGTTGTTGGATCCAAGTCTTGAGATCAATGCACTCTGCCTATCTTTGGGTGAGAAAAAGAATATTTACAGAAGAATAATAATGTATCAGAAGAAAAGCGGGATTCGCGGTAGGATGTCACGAGATCGGCTACTGGGGTATACGTCTTTCTGACCTCGGGCTTGGCCATAAATTGCCACCATTCTGAGTGCTCTAGACAGAGAACGAGAAAAATAAAAAGCTATCCTATTCGACGCCTACCATGAAGTTCTTAAAATACTTCCTTTCACTCTGCACAAAATTCCTTATCTGAGAGGCTATTGGCATAGCCAGGACCTTTAAGTACCCTCGTTACCGAAACCAAGAGTTAAGTAGCTTCTCCAGCGCTCCCGATGGTCATCCCCGTCGACAACCGCAGCGTATTTAGTGTTGGAAAAGGAACACCCACAAAACGACCGCGTCAGTTATCTAATTACTATGCGACTGAGAAGATGTCTGGCTATGACTTCACCGATCTCTCTTGACAAACCCATTTGATCTAAAATTTGGTCCCGTTTGGCAACTGCTCCGCGGGAAGAGGGAACGTACTGGCATCTTGTATGTCCACCGCTAGTCGCAAGAGCACTGTGTCAAAAGCATGGTCATTATTTAAAGGACATGGTTGAAATTAGTCTTGGATCTGTTCCTCCCTTCCACTTTGCCTGTACTGCGGTACTGCCCATCCATGTCTACCTGGGTTCTATCTAGCTAGTAGAGAGGTGCCGTCTACAGCTCAGCAAGGAACTTCTCCAGATGGTCTACGGCTAGCGTCGCTTCAGTTGTTAATAGCATTTCTGCAAAATATGGGATGGGTATTTGCCTTAGGAGGACGTTACATTCAGCCCTCTTGCCAGGGCTTGTCATTAATTCATCCATCCGCAGCATGAGCTTCCCCACCATCACTTTAAGGAGCAGCATTCAAGAATAAGAACCGAGGTACTTGTCTTTTATTATCGAGTTTGCATTTTGCTGTTAATAATATAGCACGCCATGACATTCTTGAAGCTGAAAGGCGACATAATGCTAGGCTATAATGTGCATTAGGGGCGTACAGAAGGGCAGGTGACCACTGGCATGAATGGGAGACTATGTCACCAAGAGAAAGTTAAATGGTGGAGCCGTAAGTGGACACGTGACCATGCCGAGGAATTCAGCGAGCAATTCAAATATTACACTAACAAACTTCCTTTTGTCAAAAGAACTCACAAGATGGACTAGTTTGCGTAAATCGCAAGACCCACTAGAGCACGAGTTCACAGTGGTGACATTTCCTTTGAAATAACTTTCTATTTATTAACAGGTCTTGGTGATTAGGTCACTCTTACAGTCGAGCTAGAAAGCCTCCTTAGGGAAGTAGTTTTCGTCACATTTTAAATGTCTCCTTACTGCAATTCCACCTCATCAGACAGTTAAAACTTACTATTTTTGATTTTGG